AGTTAGTTCCAGGAAAGGCGCAAAGCTACACAGAGAAACCCTGTCTCGAAAAACCAAAAAAAAAAAAAGGAAAAAAGAAAGGTAGGTCCAATAGGTCACTTGGATGAAGAGGAAATTCCTGTTCAAGTCCAAATTGCAAAAGACCCTGTATTTCAACAGGACGCACAGAGCCATGTCAGCAATCCCATGATAACGGCAACTCTATACTTCCAAGATGAATCTTGCCTGGGGCTCTCACTGATGTGTGGGTTACATGTCATCCTGACATGTCATCCTGAGCCAATCACTGTGGTCCGTGTACATTGATGAGCCAGGCCTGGTCACATGCCCAACTAAGAACCTTGAGGTAGGGCCATTTTCTCCTAAGCGGCAGGACTGGACAGTAGCACTGCCAGCATGTCCACATAGCACGGGCTTGGGGAGCACCCCAAGGCTCTGGATTCAGTGCTCAGTACACACAAGGGCAGGCAGGTTTAACCTTAACTAGAAAGGTTTGGCACATGAAGGAGAAATACCAATTTTCCATAGTAAAGGATGTATGTAGGGAGGGCCTTCAAAGACTGGGGCATCTGTGTAGCATTCCTGGGTGCCAGGCAGCGCTAAGAACCTGCCGTGAGTACTTTGCATTCTGGTCATGTAAAGTGAATACTAAGTTAGGAAAAAAAGGATTTGCTCTAACATATCTACTGTGAGTACTGTGTGTGTGGCAAAACACCCCTCGTGCCTAAAGTTTTCCCATCTAGGAATTGTTTTTTTTATTATTTTTGGGAATTTACAGCAGTGTGAATAATTTGATGATAAGACTGTGGAAATACTGCTTAAAATTGTGCAACACTGAAAGTAACCTGAGCATGCCCCGTGATGTTTTGTTACACCCATCAAGAGATAGTATATTACCAGAGAATGTGTTGTTTCATGACATGGTAGTTATGTAATAATTTATTAATGCATTCAATATGACTTTTTAGAGTTCATTTTTTTTTTTTTTTGTTTTTCGAGACAGGGTTTCTCTGTGTAGTCTTGACTGTCCTGGAACTCGCTCTGTAAACCAGGCTGATCTGGACCTCAGAGATCCACCTCTGCCTCCCGAGTGCTGGGATTAAAGGCGTGCGCCACCACCGCCCGGCCTAGAGTTCATTTTTTTTTTTTAAGATTATGTGTAAGTGTGTGTCTGTATGGGCGTGTGCCCGTGTGTGCAGGAGCCCACAGAGGACTTGGAGCTGGAGTTGTAGAAGTTGTGAGCTAGCTTCGTGAGTGCTGGTAACTAAATCTGGTTCTCTGTAAGAGCAGTGCATGATGTCTTCTACTGAGTCATCTCTCTGGCCCATTTTCTTTTTTATTAAAAATATTGAGACAGGGTCTTGTGGTGGTATTGTGTTCCCCAAAATATTGTGCACCCTAATAAACTTATCTGAGGTCAGAGACAGAACAGCCACTAGATAGAGGCTAGAAAATGGTGACACTCACACCTTTAATCCTAGCATTCCAGAGGTAGAATCCGTCTGGATCTCTGTGAGTTCAAGGCCACACTGGAAACAACCAGGCATGGTGACTCATGCCTTTAATCCCAGGAAGTGATGGCAAAAACAGAAAGATATATAAGGCGTGAAGACCAGAAACAAGAAGTTTTTAGCTGGTTAAAGTTTCAGGCTTTGGAGCAGCAGCAGTTCAGCTGAGATTCATTCTGGATGAGGACTCAGAGGCTTCTAGTCTGAGGAAACAGGATCAGCTGAGGAACTGGCAAGGTGAGGTGGCTGTGGCCTGTTCTGTCTCTCTGATTTTCCAGCACTCACCCCTTTGTTTATATTAATAAGACATTCTAACAATTCTTGCTACAGGGTCTCACCATAGTGCAGACTGTCACTGAGCTCATGTCAATCCTGCCTCACCTTCCTGAGTGCAGGCCTGTGCCACCACACCAGGCATGCTCTTAGTTTTATTTATTTATTTTATTTTATTTTTTGGAGATAGGGCTTCTCTGTGTAGTTTTGGTGCCTGTCCTGGATCTCGCTCTGTAGACCAGGCTGGCCTTGAACTCAGAGATCCGCCTGCCTCTGCCTCCTGAGTGCTGGGATTAAAGGCGTGTGCCGCCACGACCACCCGGCTCTTGGAATTTTTGTTTGCTTGGTTTGTTTTGTTTTGAGACAGGGTTCTCTGTGTAGCTTTGGAGTCTGTCCTGGAACTTGCTCTGTAGACCAGGCTGGTCTCAAACTCACAGAGATGTGCCTGGGATTAGCCACCACCAGCTGGCTAGTTAATTTTATTTTAAGAGCCAATGAAGTCTTTTTTGTTGTTGTTCATATCAGTTAAGTTTCTACTATTTTCAGCCAAACCACCTTAGCATACACATGGAAAATATGGTCTGTAAATATCTGTCTTTCAGTGTAGAGGCCTGGGAGGTGGGCACTGTCCACAGTGGCGATTGTTCTTTTTGTCAGAGCAGTAACAAGCTGGGGCTGGTCCTGGGTGTCCAATGGCAGGCACTAAGGGGCCAGCAAGAGGGCTGACTGGATAAAGGTGCTTGCTGCCAAGACTGATGAGCTGAGCTCAGTCCCAGAACCCACATGGAGAAAGGAGAGAACTCATAAGTTGTCCTCAACCCTCCCATGTGCACCATGACGTATGCACATACATGTACACACACACACAAAGTGAAAAAAAAATCACTCATGGAAATGTGAATATAACCTGAGTTGTGCACAATATGGTATGTTAATTTTGTTAGATACGATAATGGCACTGAAGTCATGGAAGCATGCCTTTAATCCCAGCGCTTGGGAGGCAGAGGCAGGCGGATCTCTGTGAGTTTGAGGTCAGCCTGGTCCACAAAGCAAGTTCCAGGACAGCCAGGGCTATATAGTGAGACTGTCTCAAAAAACAAAAACAAAAAACAACAAAACAAAACAAAACCCTAAACCAAAACAACAACCAGAAAAGAATCCCACACATAAGCACAGGATGAGGTGGTACACACCATTAATCTCAGCACTTGGGAGGCAGATCACTGTCTATACAATGTGTTCCAAACCAGCCAGGACTACATAACAAGACCCTTCTCAAACAAATAAGCAATGTCCTTTTAAATGGTGGACACTCAACTTAGTGTCATGGTACGTGACTATAATCCTAGTAACACTGAAGCAGGATACATGGGGAATTCAGGTCCAGCCTGAGTTACATGCTACCTCAAAAAAACGGGCGGGGGGAGGGGGGAGATACACATTGAATTATCTAGGGATAATAGTGACTAAGATTTAAATAGTCTGGAAGAAAAAAAGTCAACTTTTTAAAACCAGGCATAAGATATGAGGTGACTGTACGCGTGCGTGCGTGCGTGTGCGCGCGTTCAAGACAGGGTTTCACTGTTATAGTCCTAGCTGTACTGGAACTCGCTCTGTAGATCAGGCTGGCCTCAAAATCACAGAAAGTGCTTGCTTCTGGGATCAATGGCATGCACCACCACCACCTGGCTTGATCGCTGAATTCAAAGCCAGACTGGTCTACACAGTGAGACCCTGTCTCAACACTATCCTCCACCGATTATTAATTATTATCGGTAATTATAGTTCTGTTCAATTAAAAAACTATTTTACCCCTAGATAGTTGGGTTCTGTGATGAGTGAAAATACAAAACATGTTCCTGTCCACTTAGCTGTCAACTGGCCGTGACTCCCACCTCTTGAACACACACTCCTCCACCCCACACTAAAGTGGCCTTGTGGCGAAGGAGGTTTATTGGCATAGCACTGCCCAACCCCTTTTCAATGGGAAGTGGCCTCAAACTCAGAGGTCTACCTGCCTCTGCCTCTCAAGTGCTGGAATTAAAGGCACCACCGCCTGGCTGGGACCCTAAGATTTGTATATGTGCAATTGTACAAGTCAGTCTTTACATTGACCAGAGTAAACATTTAGAAACGGAGCCAGTTTCCCCACAACTTACATAGGACAGTCAGTTTCTCTGCTTAAACTATGGTAAGTGGGTTCCTAATGATTCCAAGTAAGAGTCCTAATTGGTGCGTGTGTGTGTGTGTGTGTGTGTGTATACTTTTTAAATTTTAATAAATATATAGAAAGCTTAGTTTTGGAGAATTTTACATTTGAAAGCCATACTGCAAAATTGATGTGGAATGGGAAACCTGGGTAAAACTAATAATGTCTTGTTTAGATACACTTGTCCCACACCCACCAATTTATCAGCTCCTAACCCCACCTCTCCCCCTCCCAGCCCTGTGAAGATTCTATTACTTTGTGTATGTGTGTGTGTGCGCGTGCGCATGCACATTTGTTTTTTGTTTTGAGACAGTGTTTCTCTGTGTAGCCCTGGCTGTCCTGGAACTCACTCTGTAGACCAGACTGGCCTCGAACTCACAGAGATCCGCCTGCCTCTGCCCCCTGAGTGCTGGGATTAAAGGCGTGCGCCACCACCGCCCAACTCTATCACTTTTTTCCCTGCCAGCAGAAGCCAAAGTCCGTATTTGTTTTAACGTCTTCTTAGAGCAGGGACTGGAGGTACATGCCTATGATCCTAGCACTCAGAAACCAAAGGGAGGACCACCAGGAATTCAAGGGCGTCCTCAGCCTACAGTGACTGAAGCCAGCCAGGGTACATGGCAAGAACTATTATGCTAGGAAGCCAGAGAGCAAGACACTGATTCAAAGCAAAAACTCAAAGATGCGTGGAGCTCCTCCAGCTCGGCAACTCCGTCTTTACGGTCAAACCCTAACCAGAAGCTGTTGGTTGGAGCTTGGGTTGTTTAACAGATTTGCTGTTCAGGAACAAATATAAAGAATTAGTGACATCCACTCACCTATTCATTTATTATTTGCTTGTTTGTTTTTGATTTTGTTTTAAGACAGGGTCTTACTATGTAGATCAAGCAGGACTCCCAACTCATAGACCGGCCTGCCTCTGCCTCCCCAGTGCTGGGATTAAAGTGTATGCCACCATATTCAACCTCACTCAGCTTTTAGATTTAATTGACACAGTTAAACAGTCACCATTCTGGGCACATAGTTTATTGTTCAGAACTTCCCAGCACAGCTATTACCAAGGACCTCGGGGGGGGGAGGCCTGAAGAACTGACAACGGACAACAGGCAGGTCTGCACCCGCTCCTACACCCAACAGAAACAATGCCTTTGGCGTGTGACTGCCCCAGGTCCAGCCTGGCTCAGGCTTCCACAGCACCACCCACATGCATCCCTGGAGGGACAGAAACCTCTCAGGTGTAGACTCTTAAGGGAAACCCCAAACGACAAACAACTTTCTTGAGTGATGCTGGAACAGAAAAGGCATGGGAATAAGATCTGTAGAAAGTCCAAACTACCATAACCAGTATTCCTACTTGAAGTTATTAATCTCTCATAACACCTAAGGTTTTATTTAAAAAGCAAACCTAGCATATTTATCATCATTTAAAAAAAACATGTAAACATTGCAAAATTTGGAGGATTATTTATAATCTGAAGAGAATTATAAAAATTATTGGACTTGTTAGGACTATAAATACTAACCCTTCCACCACCCCCCCCCCATGAAAAAAGCAATTGTTACAAAAATATAAAAAATATACTAGCTTCTAGTTAACCTTTCATTGAGAAATCTCAGAACGCCGGAGTACATCTGGTTTATGTGCCTAGCAAGCACACATGCTGCCTTTTCAATTTTTTAAAGAAAAGTTCCAGAACATTCCATTTTGTTAATAACGTGGCTGCTTCCTTCACAGTAATGTAATGCTCGTGAGTGTTAATAGCTTCAAGTTCTTTTCAAAAACTGCATCATCCTGCAGAGACCCAGTGTGGAATCACAGCGCAGGAGGTAGGTTTCCAGCCCTACCCCACAGTCCTTCACATTGCTCTCTCTAGCTCCTTGCGCTCCCCCAGATTCACTGGGTCCCCAGGCTCCTGAGCCAGTCATGGCTTCCCTCACTTCTCATGAAGAAGGTAAACAATCAGGGGATGCTGGGGAAGAAAACCTGGCCTGGTGCTCCCTGGAGTGCACATGGCTCCACCCAAGTGCGCTAATTCAAGAAATACACTTGCTTGGTGGCTGCTACTCTGTGACATGGAGGGATGGCTGATGATGTCCACAGATCAGAGAGAGGCAGGAAACTGATGTGGAGAGAAATACGAAGACTCAGATTGTGGACTCCTTCCTGCAGTCAGTGTACCAGGCACTGTGATCAACTAAGTTTACAAAATGAACCAAACTTAATTTGAAACAATTAAAAAGACCTGCATGGGCTTAACTGTCAGATCTTTACAAAGATCACCTCCTCCTAATGTAGGGCATTTTTAGCCTTTGCTCATCTCTGCTGCCACCAGCAGAGGGCAATAGGTACAAAAGCTCAGACTAACCCTTGGGAGAAAACTCTCCCTAGGTTACCAGTGCGACAGAGAATCTTCATATCACCAAGCTACTTCAGGGCTCTCCCCGGTGTCCCTGAAGCCTGGGGAGACCTTACATCCCAAGTCGCAGCAAAAGCATGTGCAAAGCTCCGTGTGCTCAGTCACCACCTGCCATGCGGCTCAGAAGACCCAGTTCAACTTGCAGCCTGCCGTCTACCCACTTCCCCTCAGGATCTCTGACCTAGGCCATGCCTGTCCCGTGTGCAGTACAATCTAGCCTGGTATCTGATGTGACCCCTGTGCCACTGCTGACTTTAGTGTTCTGGTCTGTGACAAGCTGCCTATCTCCAGACCAGAATGACAAGCTTTCTCTGGGTTCTTGCTGGATTTGCAGGTTTACCGTTCAAAACACTATGTTTCCAGGCTGCTAAGGGATCTCACAGTTGATTTCCGGGTTTCCAGCCCTCACCACGTTAAGTCACACATTTCCCAACACCAGCTTGTTTCTGCAGATCTGAACTATCTTATTTCAGTGCACCCTGGCTGCTCAAAACCCAAAGGAACGTTCCGAATACAACAAACAGAGGTGATTCAGAGAATTCCAGCCACATCTGCCGAGCAAGCTGACTCTGCTTTGGTTGCATTTAAAAAACAGGGCCTGTGAGACATTGCAAAATCACTGTTTGCTCAGAAGAGAGCTCTCAACATCAAGGCACAAAGAAAGAAGTCTCCTGGGAAAAATGATGATGAACAGGGTTGGCGACCTGCGTCAGGTCTGAGGCAGAGTCCATGAGGAAGGCCTGGGTAGCATTGGGACCGAGACCCTCTGGCGCCTGAGGCGTCCTCATGCGTATTTCTCCAGGAACTTGAGGTGAAAATCTTTCACCTTATGGAGTACCGTCTTCAGTTTCTCCACGGGAGGGAGAATTGTCATTCTGTCAGGAAAGAAAACGACATCAGCCTGGCTGTTCACAGGATGACTCCAACAACATTCCTTGCACTACTGAGTGGAGAGGAGGTCAGGAGGGTGGGAGGGTGAGCCCTGTGCACAGACACAGCCCTGCCCTGTCTGATTTGGAGAGCACCTATCACTGTGAAACTACTGTCTCCTCTAGTCCTTCCTTCCGTTCTCATCCTTTGCCCAGACGAGCCATGAAGCCCTGAGTCTGAGCAATCCTCCTGCCTTCGCCTCTAGGAAGCTGGGAATAGAGACACATACCACCATAGTGACCTACACACAGGCATTTCTACTACAGTAAAACCTGTCTACTAAAGCAATAAACTAGACGGACTCACCAAAATGTATTTTTCATTACTGCAGAAAGCCAGTTTGTCAGGTTTTGTTGCTGTTATTTGCTTGTATATTTGTTTTAGGACAGCATCCCTCTAGGTAGCCCTGGCTGTCCTTAGAACTTGCCATGTAGACTAGACTGGCTTTGAACTCACAGAGCTCTACCTGCCTCTACTCCCCACCCCCCTTTTCTTCCTCCTTTATAAAACATGGTTTCATATGGCACTGGCTGTTCTGGAATTCACCCTGCTGCTCAGGCTGTCCTTGAGGAGATCGCAGTAATCCTTCTGCCTCAGCTTCCTAAAGTGCTTGCATCATAGGAGGATGGCTCTAACATTCATCCACATTCTATCTAGTATAGAGAACTTTCTAGAATATGACCATTTCCCCCATTCTGTGGTGCTAGGGATTGAATCCGGGGTTTCATGGATGCTAGGCAAATGGTCAAACTACGTCCTTATCCTAGAGTATAACTCTTAGTCTTTTTTAGAATTTAAACATTTCACTCTTTGGTTGTGGGTGTGTGTCCCAGTATTCAGCTTCTGACAGGAAGCCAGCCTCAAATCACAGCTTTTTCTTCAAAGACATTTCCAGTTGCCACAATAACCTAACCTCTCCCTCTGGTCCTGACAACAGGCTTCCCAACTCAACAACACTTTGGGTGGTATGTTGGGCATGGAACCCAGGACTCACAGTCGTCATATGATCTACCACTGAGCTAATTGCAATCCCAGCTTATTATGGATGGATCATAAATCGTAGCAGAGAACCTGACCAAGGATAAAAAGGGCCAGGGAGACAGTTTGTCCCTCTTAGGACACAACCCATATCTTTGACTAAGCAAAGACTTGCTCCAGATGCCAGCCACTCATGACATTTCTTTTTTTAGCATCTGCTACAAGAGACACTGTCACAGGAGCTGTGAAGAAAGGACAGTATTCTGAACAGAGCTGCCTTGGTGTGGAACATTTGCTCAACAACTTGGGGAATCCATGTTCACATCTACACAGGGCTGGACAAGGCATGGCTGTGAACAGCCTCTCAGTATATAGATCTAACTCAGTGTAGGACCTTAACAGGCCTTGGGGCCTAGAGTAGTGGCATGGCCCACAGTGTAGCCAAGGGGCTACAGAGCACCTGTCCTGCGCCAGGCTGTTCTCTTTGGTTTTCCCATCAACTTGACACAAGCTAGCATTATTTGGGAAGAACTTCACTTGAAAAAATAACTCCATTCAATTGGCCTGCAGGAAAATCTGTGGGGCCTTTTCTTGACTGATGATTAATGTGGAAGAACCCAGTGGGCCATGGGTGGGGCCATCCCTGGGCAGATGTCCTGGATTATATAAGGAAGCAGACTGAGCAAGCCATGGGAGGAAGCCAGTGAGCAGTGTTCCTCTGTGGTCTCAGTTTCGGGTCCTGCCTCCAGGTTCCAGCATTGGCTTTCCCTGATTGTGGACTGTAACGTGTGAGCCAAATAAACACCTTCCTCCCCAAGTTGCTTTTGTCATGGTGCTTACGATACTAACAGAAATCTAACTAAGGCACAGGCTTTGTCCCATGCATCCAGAAGCATGGGGTGTGCAAGGGACAGGAAGCCCCAGAAAGATTGAACAGTCCAGGAATACTTAGAGGAGACGGCTGTGCAGTGTCCTAGTTTTCCTTTTCTTCTGACAGAGGATCTGAGCTTGCCATGGTGGGATCCACTCACGGAGAACAGAGGCTCATACTCATCAGCAGCTAAAGCAGGAACCCAAGTTTCCCTGGACAAGCCAGGGACCAACACCACCCGCCCCCACAGAAAATATTTTACCTGAAGTGGTAGGTGCCTTCTCGCTGCCCAAAGCCACTGCCAGGCACGACACAGATGCCAGTCTCCTCCAGGAGCTTCATGCAGTAAAACATGTCTGGGGCCATCTTATGGGACTGCAGGAGGAGGACAAAACTTGAGATTCACGCCTGGCTTTACACTAGACCGGCACACATTAAAACCAAAACAAAGCCAGAGCTGGTTTTGGTTCATGCCTATAATCCTAGCACTTGAGAAGCTCAAACAGTAAGGATGCCTTGAATTCAGCGCCAACCTGACCTACATGGTCAAGTCCCACCTGGGCTATAAAGACCCCGTTGAGTGGGGAGATCAAAGCCAGACAGAACCAGAATGCAGAATGCCAGGCCCTCTTTTCTGTGACAGAGCCTTTCCTTCTCCAGTTACTGCCTACAAAATAAGGCAAGATACCAGGCCACAGTCAGGAAGCTGGTTCTGGGGCCCAGACATCTGAGGACACTCTCGATCTTCATTCAAGGGGTCAGGTATTTCCCGTCCCTATCCCACTAACTGCTGAACAGTCACGACTGCAGACACAGTGCAAAGTCATTCATGTGCCAAGTCACAAAAATGATCTGCAAACAAGGCCTGGGATTTAAACCCAGTGAAGGCTTGAGGGGGATGGGCCCTGGAGCCACCACTGACACTGCTAATGACGGCTAAGGAAGTCAACTTGATTGGGTTAGGAAACGCCTAGGACATTGGGGAAGCACACGTTTTTTAAAAAAAGATGTATTTACTTATTATGTATACAATATTCTACCTGCATGTGTGCCTGCAGGCCAGAAGAGGGCACCAGATCTCATTATAGATGGTTGTGAGCCACCATGTGGTTGCTGGAAATTGAACTCAGGCCCTCTGGAAGATCAGCCAGTGCTCTTAACCTGAGCCATCTCTCCAGCCCCTGGAACACACTTTTAAGGATGTGGCTGAAAGCATTTCCAGAGGAGGTAACTCCAGGACTTGTCCTGACTGTGGACAACCTGCCCATGGGCTGGGATATAAGGAGACAGACAGACAGACACAGACACACACACACACACACACACACACACACACACACACAGACTGGCTTCTCCTTCCTCTGCATTCTGAATCCCATGAAGTGACTCATGCCTTCCCCACCATAGACTGTGGTGATATTTTATTTGTACTGAAATGTTATTTTAATTTTATGTTAATAAATAAAGTTGCCCTGGGGTCAGAGCTATTAGAGCCATAGTGAGAGCGTGGTGGTTAGAAGAGCTAGGTAGATTTCTGTG